GGGGTTGGGTGGATGGATTGGCTAGTGAGGTAATGTGGGCCTTTTGGTGGCGGCTGCCTGGGCCACGTAGGAAATGGGGGGGAGGGAGAAGGGCGGTATGGTACTGGGCAGAAAGGAAAAAGTGTGATGAACGGATAGGGGAGAGGAGCGATAATGAACGGAAAGGATGAGGGAGTGTGCTCCTGGTGTTTACCATAGATACCTGGGGCAGAGAAAGGTAAATGCTGTTTGCTTGAACAGTGTTGTTACAGTAGAGATGCAAAGTGGTCTATATCTCGTTTGCTAGCAGGATTTGAAACAGGGTAGAGGGGAAGGGGGGGGGGGGACGAGAATGCAAGTCAAAAACGGCAAAAACTGGAGGTAGCAGTAAAGAGGAAAAGACAACACTGTGCACACAATAAAAGTAAATTAGAGCAAATCGACTTTATGAATAAAATTAAAAGAAATTGAGGTTTTGCTAGTGGAAACTGATCCATTAAAACTCGTCATCAGTAGGTGACTTTCTTATTTATGAAACTGATGCTTAAGTGAAGTTGTTCAAAAAAAAAAAAAAAAAACACGTCATTAGGTTTCTCTTTTTATGGAACTGATGCTTACGTAAAGCTAAGAGCGAATAACATCCATGAAGTGGGCAAAAACAGAATAGAATGGATAGAATGGATGCGTGGGGATGAAGTCAGCTTTTGCTCCTCTGTGATTTTAAAGGGAAAAAAAACAAAGGTATAGCTGTTTTGCACAGTTGCGGGCTGCGAGAGGCAACACTGTGGAATTGTCTGCAGTTCCTGTGTAATCCAATCGGACTTATTTGCCATCAGCTTCACCTAGCACAGGCTTCAGTAAATGGAATCGAACTTATTTGCCCTCAACTTCACCCAAGCATAAGCTTCAGTAAAATCCTATCAAACTTATTTGTCCTCAGCTTCACCTAAACATAAACCTCATTAATGCGGGGGCGGCTTACTGAAGACGGATTTTTGTAAGACAAATTCTACTCGCATAATCTAAGTTTTTCTTTGCTGTTGCTGTTTTTGCTTTTGGTTACAGGTTTCAGTTCTTTGATTTTTTTCCTTTTCTTCACAAATTCAGGTTTGTTTTAATTTAGCTTTAATTTATTATGCATTTTTTGCAGCAATGCAATGCGAAAAACGCATATTGACGAGAAGTTTTCTGTGCGTGTGTGTGTCTGTGTGTGTTTGTGTGTGTGTGTTTGTGTGTGTATGTGTGTGTGTGTCTGTTTGTGCGCTGGGCCTCTGTACCGATTTTTCATCCCGAGACCGGCAAAAGCTACGGGGCTGAAACTTTGGGGACATAATCTACATGCACGTACGGGCCCCAGTCCACAAAATTGGCGCCAAAACCCGCGTACCACTCGTACGGGCCGGCCAAAGTTATTTTGGGGTCAGTTCATAACTCGAGAATCTGAGAAGCTAGAAGGCTGAAATCTCGGGGTAATGTTCCCTGCCCAAGCGGGAATTAGTGAGCTCAAACCCAAACCCCGGGTAAGCATGGTACCCCCGTACGAGCCCGCCAAAATTTTTTTCGGGTAAGTTCATAA